CGCGCAGCAGGGCCCTGGTGCTCTGAAGCTGCGTCATGAGCGAGGCCGCGGGCTGCCTGTGCGCCGGCAGGTGCTTCTCCAGCTTCTGGGGAAACGGCCGGGGAAGGAAGTCCCCCTTTTTCTCTTGCTCTTTGGGTGTTTTGTCCTGCAAATCAGAAGCAAACACGGGCTGAGATGCACGCGGGGCCTGGGACCATCAGGTGAGGGTGGTGAGGGGAAAGGCGGAGGGGCTGCGGGAGGAGGGGCTCTGCGTCCACCGGCTGGGTGTCCAGGCAGGACACACACACGCGACGCGTGCTATTCCCCGGAGGCTCCCGCCGATCCGTCCTGGCCCCACATTCTTACCTGCCCCGCGTGGAATTCAAGGTCTCGCGTCCAGGTGTCCAGGGAGGCCTGTGGAAAGCAGCATCCGTCAACCCTCTAGCCCACCCCCTGCCCCTCTATCCCAGCCCCAGCACCTGCCTGTGAGAGAATTATTCACTCCAACGGTCACACAAGAAACCAAACTCCGGGTCACCCTGGACGCGGCTCCAGGTGCCCTACTTTCCAGGCGTCTCTTTGCGAGTCTGAGGCGCACGGGGCGTCTCCGGAGACGAGTAAGCAGGTCAGTGCGTTTTCTCAGACAGCAAAATCTCCCCAGGGAAACAGTACCAGGTCAAGAGACAAACCCAACCGGCACCCAGACGTCCTCCTGCCCAACCCGCCGTCGGTCCCCCAGGCGCCCGCTGCTCTGATTTCCAACAGCACCGACCGCTCGAGAAACGTCACTTTAAAAGGGTCAGAAATGCTGAAATAAGGCCCAAAGTGGACATCCCGTCCTTGGCCTCGACAGTCCCCGTCACGGTGGAACAGCACAGGGACTCCAAGTCCTCAGAACGGGACCTCACGGGAAGACAGGGTCAGGGCGAGCCCGGCGTGTCCCCCGGGAAGCGTGAGGACTGGGGGGCGTGTGACAGCTCGCTGTCCTTTGCCTTTTAAAGGGGGCCGGGTGGTGTCACCCTGTCAATCAAGTTAAAATGAGGTCACTAGGGCGGACCCTAATGCAGTGCAACTGGTATTCTTATGAAAAGGGGGAATTCGGCCCAGCCAGTGTGGCTCAGTGGTTGAGCATCAACCTTTAACCAGGAGGTCACGGTTCCATTCCCGGTCAGGGCACAGGCCTGAGTTAAGGGCTTGATGCCCAGTGGGGGGCGTGCAGGAGGCAGCCGATCCATCATTCTCTCTCATCACTGATGTCTCTCTCTCCCTCTCCCTTCCTCTCTAAAATCGATAAAAATGTATTTTTAAAAAAGAGTCAAATGCAAACCAAGAGGCAGGAAAGGGTAGCAGTGAATTCTGCCTCCCCTGGTGCCCACGGCCGGTGTCTGTCTTGGGTTAAGGGGTGAAGGCAGCTGGCAAAGGTTCCAGCAGGGAAGGGACACGGTCCATTAGGGGCAGACCAGCTAGGAGGCTGGGGCAGGGCGATGGGGGGTCCCCACCGGGGGATGGGATGGGGACAGGAGAGGGGTTGGAGAGTTTTAGGAGCCAAGTTGGCAGAGCCTGGTGACAGCCTGGCTCTGAGGCAAGGGGAGGAATGAGAAGTACAGGTTTCTGCCCTGGGCTGAGGCGGGCGGCCATGAGGAGACAGAGAAGCGACGTTGGTCTTGGGAGGTGAGGCTTCCCTAGGAGGTGAGGTTCATGACACCTTCCTTGGGCAAGAGGAGGTTTAGGAGGCTCAGCGCCGCCCCCCAGCCGCCCCCCAAAAGTTCATCTCCATCCTGGACCTGCTGGTGCCGGAATCCTGACTCGGAAGCACCCAGCAGCCCCATCACCCCAGAGTGGACGGGAGAGGTGGGTGGGGGTGCGCCGGGCACCCTGGCTCAGTGCCCTGGCGATTCCGATGCTGAGAAGGGGCTCGGGTCCGGGAAACTTTCCTTCCCACCCCCACCTGCCCCAGGGAAGCGGTGGCGGCTCACCTCGCAGGGCTCCCTGCCGGGCCGGCACCTGTCCACCGGGCAGAGCGGGGCCTTGGAGCAGACGCCGTCCTGCACGTCGCATTTCTACCAAGAGAAGAAGAAGCCGCGCTGACCTCATGGGCACGGCCGCGGCCATTAAGCTGACACTCATTCTCAAACCCGCGCTGGGCCGAGAGCCCCCAGAGTGGGAGCCAGGCACCTGCAGAAGCCCATCCCCTGTCGCCGCCCTGGCCCTGCTCCGTGCCGGCCTCAGCGCCTGGCTGTGCAGTGAGTTCCTCTGAGCTGTGCACGCCGAGCCCCAGGCCTGGGCCGGGAGGTGATTCCCTCTGAGCTGTGCACAGCCTGCAGACGTGGGTTATTCGCTTCCCACACGCAGCCCTCGTCCCTGCCGGCCCCGCCCAGTAAAGGCCCGTTTCTTGATTCTTTCTTTCTTTTTCTTTTTGTTAATCCTCACCCGAGGATGTTTCCATTGATGTTTTTAGAGTGTGGGAGGGAGAGACAGAGAGAAACATCAATGTGAGAGAGAGACATCGATTAGCTGCTTCCTGCAGGTGCACCAAGCAGGGCCAGGGATCGAGCCTGCAACCGAGGTACCTGCCCTTGACCAGAATCGAACCCGGGACCCTTCAGTCCTCGGGCCGACGCTCCATCCACTGAGCCAAACCGGCCGGCGTGGTTTGCTACCATCGTATCCCCCGTTTGGGACAGTCAGCCTCACCTCAGGGTGAATGCACAGCGCGGACCCCGTCAGCTGTGGGAAAGGCCATCATCCCAGCGCCTTGTCCACGGAGGGACACGCACACGCGAGGCCACTCACCCCGACACGGACACGAGGCCACTCACCCCCGACACGGACACGCGGGGCCACTCACCCCCGACACGTAGCGCTCGAGCTTCTTGTTCAGGAGGAAGTAGACGGCGAGGATGTGGCAGGCGCGGTTGGCCAGCACCGTGTTGATCACGTCGCTGTTCTTGTAGCCCAGCTTCTGGGTCATGTGCAGCACGACGCTGGGGCTCAGGTCGGCCAGCGAGATCCTGCGGGACGGGCTGCGTCAGCTCTTCCCACCCCGCCCCCCACCGGGAGGGGCGCCCAGACACGGGGACAGTCCACTGAGGCCCAGGAAGGATGCCCAGACACAGGGGACAGTCCATTGAGGCTGGGAGGGGCGCCCAGACACGGGGGACCGTCCACTGAGGCCTGGGAGGGGGGCCCAGACACGGGGGACAGTCCACTGAGGCCCGGGAAGGATGCCCAGACACAGGGGACAGTCCATTGAGGCTGGGAGGGGCGCCCAGACACAGGGGACCGTCCACTGAGGCCTGGGAGGGGCGCCCAGACATGGGGACAGTCCACTGAGGCCCGGGAAGGGTGCCCAGACACGGGGGACAGTCCATTGAGGCTGGGAGGGGCGCCTAGACACTCGGGACAGCCCCGCGGTCATTCACCTGACTTCCCATTTGGGAAAAGGCCACATAGACAGAGGTCGAGGGGATGGTGTAACGACCCTAAACACTGATGTGCCATGTGAACACTCCTTTCTTCCTTCTCCTTCCTCCTTCCCTTCTCTCCTTCCTTCGTAAGTATTTTAAACCCCAGCCATTGTGACATGTCATTCCTAAAACACCGCAGCCTGCAACTTTTAGAACACAGATGGGGAACCTCTTTCTGCCAGGGGCCATTTGGAAATTTATAATATCCTTCCTTCTCCTTCCTCCTTCCCTTCTCTCCTTCCTTCCTTCGCTCCTTCCTTCCTTCCTTCAGTATTTGTATATTCGAGGGCCATACAACATTATCAACTTGCCCGGCAGTGGCTCAGAGGTGAGCACTGATCACACAGGTAAATCCCGTTGCCCAGGCACAGCTGAGCCGCCTGCGGTAGAGGGTGAAGGTGCCCTCTACACAGGGTGAGGGTCGCGGTTCGATTCCCGGTCAGGGCAAGTGCCAGGTTGTGGGCTCGATCCCCAGTAGGGGGCATGCAGGAGGCAGCTGATTCATGTTTCTCTCTCTCTCTCTTCTTCTCTCTCAAATCAATATGAACTTTTTGTTTTAGAAAACTTAAAAAAAAAGAATACAATGACTTGAAGTTCGCCAAAACGCTGAACACTTAGGCTCAATGTTTGAAACAACCTGGTAAAGGGGCCCTGCCCCTGGCCAATCAGACCCCTGCCCATGCCCCTAACCTTGGCCAATCAGACCACAGCCTCGTAGCATCAGCCTGACCAATCAGATGACGGACTGGTGACCCAGCCCTGGCCATCCACCCGTGGGCACACTCAGTCAGCCCCCGCAACTGGGCGGTCTGGGTGTGGGCGCCACCAGGTGCGGCTGGGGGTGGCGGTGAGAGGAGGGACAGGAGCAGGCAGACACCCCGTCTCTGCAGAACCAGGACAGCTCTGCCCTCCGCACCCTGCTGCCTGCCGACCCAGCAACACGGAGCCTCCCTCAGGAAGCAGTCGGCCCTGAACCTGTGTTCTCCTCCGCGTCTGGATGACATGACGGGAAAATGTTCTGGACCGCGAGGTGGAACGAGTAAGTTCTCCTGACGTCCCCGTGGAGGCCGCTGTGGTCTAACTGCCCCGTGTCACCAACGCCCGCCCCGTCCTCCCTCCGCCCAGAGCTAGCAGCAGGGACGGGAGGCTGTCCGGCCAGATGTCCAGTGGACTGACGGGCACGTCGACTGTAAGGTTGACCTGTGGCGGCATTTCCCTCTCGCCTCGTGGAGATCCACGGGAGGCAGCCCCCCCCCCCCCCCCCGCCAGCCCCCCGGGGGGGGGGGGGCCCCCCC